TCGTGCAGAGACTCCGCTCACAGTTGCAGAACGACAGCGGGAAGAGAAGCAGGAGGAGAATGGAAACAGAAAGCCCACAGGGGCTAAATTTGCATCCGGCAAAGCAACCTCGGACTACTTTATTTGATTGGCTGCCCGCAGGGCTGCCTTCTGTCCCTACATGGACGAACCTACACGGATTAGGATCGCTTCGTGTTTCTCTTTTCCTCTCTCCGTCGCGTCGGCGTCTTATTTTTTCGTTTCTTCCGTTCCATTCTCTTTTGTCATCTTGTTTCTTCGGGACTGTCCTTCTCCCCTTTCCCTCTTCTTCTCATCTTCTCACCCCCTCTCATCCTTGTGGCCACCTCGCTCGCCACTAGATAGATTTTCCGGAATCATATCGGTGATGGCCGCGAGAGACACTTCCACGGACCATGTAAGAGCAGCTTAGGGCGTTTTTTTTGCATTCTGAATTGGAAGACCGTGAAGAAAAAAACAGACGGTATTAATCTTTCTGATTTCTTGTAAGATAAAGTGCTGATGAATTCACGAAATTCACGAAATAAAAAATATTGCATCGTTTGTGCTTTCATATTTTTCATTGCAATTTCCCTCTGCTCTGATTTTATATCTTGAATGTACTCGTATAATTTAATATATATTTGATTGAAAGATAGATATTCGCAATACGAAAAAAATATATGAAAGATATTCTTAATTAATCGACGAACATTTACAAACATGATATTTGACTCGGAAGTCGTCGGATATTTTTTAGAATAAATAAATTAAGTTTGAATAGGGAATAAAGAACAAAAATTTGTTCTCGGCAACATCTTATATTGGAGATTTTCCTGCATAATGTAAATTCGGTGGTAAATTATCGAAATATTTGATAATGAGCCAATTATATGTAATATTACAAACATAAAGATATATCTATTTCGTCACTTTATTGCTTGATCGGATGTAAAACGCAAAGGCGGGGGGTGAGATGATGATAACGACAACGGTTGAACCATCAATCGATTTTCATCCCTGTCCACCGACGATGCTCAACGTCGAAATAATCATCCGCTTTAATAAAAACGGCTTATCCGCGAAACAATGGACTGTCGCTCGCAGGACAGCCAAGCACGTGGTGTCGTGGTGCGCGTCGCGGCTTGTCTTTCGTGGGAGTACTATGTCCGCTCGCTCGTTCGACTATTCCTAAGAGTTAAGCCGTTTTAGCTTTACTTCGCTACACACTAAAACAAGGTATCTTAATACGAAGCCACTTCAAGTTACCACGGCGTACCTGAAATTAAATCTCCTTCTTGTCGCAATTAAAACTTGATTCTGGAAACGCGTTATTATCTAAGCTGTAATGAAAAAAACTTACGGCACGCGCAGGCGTTATATAAAAATATCAGGCAATCCACGAGGCAATTTATTCATTTTATAGGATATTGCAAATTTCGTTAAATTAGATCAAATCCGTTTTTACTCGATTTAATAAGAAAAATAAAGACACTTAGTGATAAAGGCATTTTTTTAATTTAAAAGTAGATTTTTAAAAAGTGATGACAGTTACTACAATTTTGTATTTTCCATTTAATTTTTTCATACATTTCTATGTTTCACGTTTTGAATTTTGCTAAAAAATAATACCGACAAAAAAATATATAACAGAGTTAGGATTTATATTAAATATTCTAAAAGGCAAAATAAAATGCGAAAGATAAATTTATGTCGTGAGAACGATTTAAAAATGAGATTTTTAGAATTGAGAATATACATAAAAACGAATATAAAGTTATAGTAAATATAGACATTGAATTCATTATGGAAACAAATTGCTAAATCTTATCGTTAATCGATCTTATTATTAATTGATCTCTTTTCGAACATTATATGTTTTGAGGCATCATATTGTTTGCTCTTCACGTTTCGGCGCGACACGTAAGCGTATGTACGAGATATTTACGATTATATTACCTTTGAATGCATTGAATGTAGAGCAGAAAAGGAGGAGGGAAGAAAGAGGGAAAGAAAGGGAGAGAGAGGGAGAGAGGGAGAGAGAGAGAGAGAGAGAAAGTAGATGATATTCACATAATGATATTCATGCAGAATGCGATTATTTTTCTAAAATACGCAATAATAATATATTTGATTGAATAAAATGCAGGTGAAATTTTTTCAATCTCATAATAAAAATGGCAAAGAAATGACAGAGTGCTACAATAAGACACTTGATATAACTTGATATTCTCTCTTTCTAATTATAGATTTAAATTTGTCATGATATTTTAAATAGCTTAAGTTGGGACAAATGACATTTAGTCATGTTCAATTCTTTATGCTTATGAGTTTGTATCTTCATTTCATTTAAAAACGCAAAAAAGTATTTTTATTCTGTGTCTCTTTTTCACTGGATGGCGCTCGAAATGTTGGCTGCGCAGTTTCGAGAGGCATTAGGTACGCGTTTTCCAGACTTTAAGCCGAGCATCGCCGGAGGAGATCTCATTAATTAGCTAATGGCTTTGCCAGTCTTCTCAGGCACATATACGTTGCGTATGGTACGAGTATCAGTATTCTTCTATATGTCACTAAATGATAGCGAATTCGCTCGTTAGTAATGCGACATGATTATTTTTTATAAATGTGACAAATAAACTAGCGATTTTTGTTATATATTAGATTTCTTTCCTCTTACAATTATTTTTATTACATACAAAGCTAAAAGCGACGAATGGTTCACATAAAAATAGAGATGACGATTATATGATGCAATTTCAAGTAATCTACGCTGCCTACGCTCATGTCAAGGAATCTGTCCTTGATTTCCACAGAGGTAACCAACTTTGTATCTTCTAATTCTACTTGATCGAAATTAATTCATTCCCAATCTAATCAAATTGCCTGAATCGTCTAATTTTATATACAATTCGTTTTCATCGAACCCCGTATTGATACTTTTCACTTTGGCTTTATTCGAACATGCCTGAATGCTAGTAATACCCAATTATCCTGAATATTTATTTAGACAACAAATTGGCAAATATGTAAACCATTAAGACGTATGCTTCGTATGCTTTATTCTTCTGTATTCAATGAAACGTAATATTTTTATTATTTTTGAGTATATACCATGAAATTTGTTAGGCACTGCATTCTATTGTGTTGCTTTCAAGGATCACAATAATAATGGATGCGTCTTTAATACATTAACGGGCGTCTGTGCAGCATTATGAGTGGAAAACGCGTGTAAAGTACAAAATGAAATGGCATAAAATAGCATGTTAAAATAAAATACATCGTTCTTCAGAGTTATTAATTGTTTTGCAGTTTGGCACTAGTGTTATATTATATTATTATCGATTTGCAATAACGTTAGTGTAGCAATAAAACGCCTGGTTTCAATGTGTTTTAATATTCTAATGCGATTATAACTATAATAGATTTGCATTTACAATTTGTCCTTACTATCTTAAATATTTCAAATAATCTAATGATCTAAAAAATAAACTTACAACTTGTATTTATTACTTAATGTGTCTTTGTTATTTAAGATTATGATTAATAAAAGGAGGTTATACAATTATTTTGTTACTAAATTAATATATACTGATGTTTATTAAAAACGATGAAAGAGAAAAAGGTAAAGATTCATGCTGTTGATAGATGCATTGTTAAAAATGCAGTATTTTTATAAGTTCTATAACTAACATAGAGTATAACATTGTTCCTCAAGAGCGCGAGGGAGCAGCTGCATGATATTGTAAGCTGCATGTATTGTTTATAATTACAACTTGTATCAAATGATCGTTTAAAACGCCAAACGCTTGTGACAAGACGAGTTCTGATCTCTACTTGTAATTAACTTGGCGGTATCAAACCAATTGATCTTCTATAGTAGAGAGAAAGATTTGTCTTACAAGAGTATTGACTTTGATAATAATCGATCGTCACCGTCTATCGCTCATTCGAGCTCTTTTTTCTGTCACTTCAGAAATTTCCTTCGATAACAAGTTGAGCTTGGAACAATAGCTCGTCCGTGCTATGTCGAATTATTATAAATTTTGATTTTTGTAAATAATTACAGCTGTCATTCAAATGCG